AATTTCATCCAACCTCCACCAAGCTAAACAAACAGCCAAAGAGCCCAGCCAAACTCCCTCCCTAGCTCTACCAAAGAAACCCTTCCTTAGCCTTACCTAACGAAACACCCCCCCCCCCCTTGCCTTAAAAATTAACTTTGGAGTCAAAGCAAAGAAACAATTGAGCCCTATACAAAAAAAGAAACCTGGAACTTTTGCAAAAATACAACAATGGAGCCCTAGAAAATACACATGCACTCAGCCATAATAAAGAAACAACCATGAAATCTAGCAAAGAAACATGAGGCACTAGAACACGACACCTTGAGCACAACCATGCATGAACCGAAGCCCGACCATGCACAACCCGAAGCCCAAGTGACACCCCCGGAGCCCGACCAGTTATTTAACCGGAGCCCAACCAGTTGTGTAACCGGAGCCCGACTAGTTGTGTAACCGGACCCCGACCAGTTGTGTAACCGCAAACCTAGCATGAACGAACCAAACAAACAAGCCCTGGAGTACAACCATACACGAACTGAAGCCCGACTATGCACAACCCGAAGCCCAAGTGACACCCCCGGAGCCCGACCAGTTATTTAACCGGAGCCCGACCAGTTATTTAACCGGAGCCCGACCAGTTGTGTAACCGGAGCCCGACCAGTTGTGTAACCGGAGCCCGACCAGTTGTGTAACCGGAGCCCGACCAGTTGTGTAACCGGAGCCCGACCAGTTGTGTAACCGGAGCCCGACCAGTTGTGTAACCGGAGCCCGACCAGTTGTGTAACCGGAGCCCGACCAGTTGTGTAACCGGAGCCCGACCAGTTGTGTAACCGGAGCCCGACCAGTTGTGTAACCGGAGCCCGACCAGTTGTGTAACCGGAGCCCGACCAGTTGTGTAACCGGAGCCCGACCAGTTGTGTAATCGGAGCCCGACCAGTTGTGTAACCGCAAGCCTAGCATGAACGAACCAAACCTCTGGAGCACAACCGTGCATGAACCTAAGCCCAAATGACACCCCCCAGAGCCCGACCAGTTGTGTAACTGGACCTCAACCAGTTGTGTAACCGGACCCCGACCAGTTATGAAACCGCAAGCCTAGCATGTATACATTTCATTCAACCCCCACCAAGCTAACTAGCCCCAGAGCCCAAACAAAAATCTCCTTAGCCCTACCTAAAACCCTCGACTTGCCCTAGAAACCAACTACAGAGCCATAGCCAACAATTGAACTATCTACGAAAAAAGAAACCCGGACTTATAGCAAACATATAACCATAGAGCGCTAGCAAACAAACCTGGAGCATTAGTACACGAACATCCCCTGGAGCACAACCATGCATGAACAGGAGCCCGACCATATATTGTCAAAGTCATATTGAAACTTTACAAAGAGATCTACATGAACTCCACAAATGGTCAGATGACTTTTTAATGATGATGAATGCAAGACCTTGCATGTGGGGCATAACAGTCCGCCATACGAGTCATAAATACTCATACTCCGCCAAAGTAAAATAGAAACAAGCAACACTTAGTGGGCCAGCCAGAGGCTTAGAGCCCACGTAGGAATATCCCCCCACCAAAAAAAAAAAAAAACAGTCCACGTCACAACTACCAATTGACAGCACTACCTGTCAACAAATAGATGAAGAAAAGGACCTTGGAGTCAGAATCCATCACGTGAGGCATAACAATACACAACACAACTACCAAATCAACATTATCTTTGAGTCAGAATCCACCAATCACTGATAGTTGTACAACAAGCGGAAGCGGCAGTAAAAAAAAAGCAAACCAAACCCTGGGAATAAACATGCGCACCTTTACCTTCAAGGAAAAGAAAGTAGACCTTCAATTGTATAAGTTTCTGGTGCGCCCCCACGTGATTTATTGCATCCAGGCATGGAGACATCTTCAGAAAGACATAGCTGCATTGGAGCCATGTCTTACCAGAGCTATGGAGCTATGTCTTACCGGAGCTATGGAGCTATGTCTTACGACAAAAATCATACCAGAGGTTAGTCATCTCTCGTATCAGGAACGGTTGAGGGCCACGGGGCTAAACTAAACAATTTGGAGGACGTCGATCAGAACAATGTCTTCAAAAGGTCAGATGTTACACGAACAAGGAGCAACGTGTTCAAACTCAACAAGCCAGAATGTTAGACAGGAAACAGGAGATGCTTTTTCACCCATAGGGTTGCAAGCCTGTGGAACTGCCTACCTGCCGAAAGCGTAAACGCCAAAACTCTGCTGGGGTTTAAAATACAGTTGGAAAAGATCAGGGGCAAATGTGGGGACCTTTGACAAGCCGCCGGCTTACTGCCCTCATCGTGGTCACTAGTATTAGTGGCCCTCAGGTAAATTCACTGGAGGGGTGTCCCCGCTCCTGCCTATTGGAAAGTTGTTCATCTATTACAGTACAACACTGTGGAGCAATGCCCGGCAGACCACTGGAACATTATCTAACACAGTGCACAGTTACAAACCCATTAAGATTTCAACTTAGATTCAACAGAGCAGAAGTTGTTAAACACACATGGCAAAATCTTACTGAAGCGACCATACGAGTAATAAATACTCATCCTCCGCCCAAATAAAACAGAAACAAGCAACACTTAGTGGGCCAGCCAGAGGCTTAGGGCCCGCGCAGGAATATCCCTGAAAAAAATAATAAATAAATAAAAAATAAATAAATAAAAAATAAATAAATAAAAAAATAAATAAAATAAATAAAAAATAAAAAAATAAATAAAAAATAAATAAATAAAAAATAAATAAAAAATAAATAAAAAATAAATAAAAATAAAAAATAATAATAATAACAAATAAATAAATAAATAAAATAAAAAGTAAACAAAATAAAAAATAAATAAATAAATAACAATTAAATAAAAAATAAATAAAAAATATATATAAATAAATAAGTAAAAAAAAATATATAAATAAATAAGTACAAAATAAATAAAATAATATTATGTATATATATATATATATATATATATATATATATATATATATATATATATATATATATATATATATATATATATATATATATATATATATATATATATATATTACAGTAGTTGTTCACTGGACTGTCGCTTGTCACTAAACTTAGTTTTTAAACTATTAACTTTATGAAATAATATTACCTTATACGCGAGAATAATTCTGAATACGCAGAGCGATAAAATATTCTTGTGCAGCTTTGGGTTGGGTGGCGGCGTAGGGGAGCCTGGCCTGAGGACAGGCAACTGTAAATGCTTCACCCTCCACATACTTCAAGTGCAAATAATTGCCAACAGAACCTAAATACCGAACCTACTATAAGCCTAATTAAACATAGAATATAAAATTAATTTATACCCGATCAAAACTATTTTTAATACGCAGTACATGAAAGTCCTTAATAAATGGGCTTTGGCAGTTGGCGGGGGGGGGTCGACCGCCGCGTTAACGAGCCTAGCCTGACGACGGGGTGGTTTAACACTATGGGGATATGTATTCTACATAATATCCTACCCATATAATGTTGGCAAATCATGATCCTCAAAATCTTCTACAATATCTGAGAGAGGACAGACTATTTAGCATTAGTGGCATACAAACATTTGAATACTACAGAACCCGGATGAAAAAAACAAAACGGAAACAATGACCCTCGGAGACATTACGAAAACTCAATGTTATAATAGCGAACAGCTTCAAAAAAAATGTATAATGCATTAAGCATTGTAGGTGGAGGTAGACTATATATTCATGTGTACCTCCTAACTCCTCAGATATATTAGCCAATCAAATTGTATTAGCCTTACCTACATGGGAACGATCTTGCTCGCGCCGCTGCTTCCTGACAACTGACCCGGTCGTCGTCGATGACCCGTCAGCGTCCAACCGACCCAGAGACCCTCTGCCTAAAATTATTTGAACGCCATATTGAAATTCCTAGCGTATAGCTCCAGGAGTGTGTAAATTAATATTTATATGCATTATAGGCCTTTCTAAAGTAATTTATAAATCTGAATATCATATATTGTCTAACAAACGAATTATTTAGGTTAATATTTTAATTATGCCAGATACAAGTCTCATCGCACACACACACATAGGTGAGTACACACACACACACACAAACACACACACTCAATTAGGTGAGTACAAGAAGGTTCGTCAGCGGATTTTTTTGTATTTATATATAAAAAGAGTTCTTAAATTCTTGTTAAGCCACTAGCATGCATAGTGTCTCAGGAAGGTCCTTAATTCTATTTTTTTCCCCGGAATACGACCCGCCAAATTGTTTAACAACCTATTCGCTGCTGGGTAAACAGTTAAGGATTGGCGCTCGGTCAATCCTTCCCAGGTCACAGCGCTGGAATTTTGAATTTTGAAACTTGACTAACCTAGTTCAGCCCAACCTAACGTAACCCAAATCAAACCAATCTAATCCAACCGAGCCCAATGCAGCCTAACCTTAATAACATAACCTAATACAGCCTAGCAGAACAATACAGCCGGTTTTAAACCAGAAAATGAGTTTAGCCGAATCGTCTCGTGTCCGAAATTATCATATCCCGACCAGAGTTTAAGTTAGAATTACAATCTTGTAAAGCAACTGTACAAGAATGTAATGTAACAACTCTTGTATATATCTAAAAAAAAAAAAAAATTGTAACATCTGCAAGATTCTCCTCTTTCTGGAATATTGGAATATTTGCCTCTCCAGATTTTCAGCAGATATTCAGTCTCGAATGTCTTATTAAAAAAAATTAATTAGCGAGTAAGAAAATACTCTTCTGAAAGAACAACAATTTAGGGCAAAAGCTACATGACCACTCCGTCTGATGCTCGGTGAAAATAATCCTTTGTGAATCATCATACTATATCTTAACTTCTAGTGTTTTCTTGAGTGTTCGCATAACAAAAATAATTACATTTTTACGGAATCTGTTTTTTTTTCTGTGGATATACACAAACTCAGATAGTAAATGTAGCGGTGTACTCTAGGGTGAAGTACGGTGAAGATAACCCGGGTAAAAGTGTAAACAAACAATCGACCGTGGCGTACTGAAGGAGTTTTCCTCATAAAACTTTACAACATGTCTAAGGTGAATTAATGTGGCTGTGTGGCCTGTTGTCTGCCTGAGTTTTACATGTTATAACCACGCTCTTTTTTAAGCTTTGTACAGTAATTTCTGAGTTTTCAATGCTTTCGATTTGTCGTCCATTGAGACGACAAAGAATTTGTGTTGCATTTAGGGTGGTAAAGTATAATTCACAGGTTCAGGGTTATAAAGTGATTGAAATTTTACCTCTCAAGGTCTTGTGTACCATTTTATTCTTACAGAGTGTTTGAGACTACACGTTAGTCAAACATTGGCTCAAGTCGGTCGGGTTCCTTATTCACTCAAATTCATGTAGAATTATGTAGATAAAGCAAAATTATGTCACAAATCTTGAGAATCTATACTTAATCTTGGGACCGAAGTACTCTTTGGGTACATATCATCGGTGTGGTGCGCTGTACTATTGTTTTGCTCCACATTGTAATCTGACCCAACTGTCATTTGGCTTAACCCATGTACAGTAGAGGAGTCCAAAAATATGCAACCATGTGTGAACGAACGAACACAAAAGAAAACTGTCAAAAACATCATCTTAAATTAGTAAACGTTAATAATTTATGTCAGAAGAGAGACAAAACTATATTCTTTCTGTAGAACCTCTACCAGAAAAATATTTTAAGTAAAACCGAAGACATGTGAACTTTAATGGAAGTTGCTTTTTTCATCACTCACTGAGCTCCGAACCTGCACACACTGATTGATGGAGCATTAAGGTTGAACCAGAAAGGATGTGTTGGATATGGAAGGAATGTAGACATGTCCTCCTTTCAGTGGATATGAAACATATTTGGTATTCTTCAACTGAATCTCTTTGTGTGGGATCTCAGGTTGCCTGTGCATTCTTGGCGGTTAGGAAGGGCAGGCTTTTAGGAGTTTTCTATGGCTCAGCTACTGTCATGAGTCTGCAAACAAGTGTCCTGCTCAAAGAGGCACTTTTCATATAGTACTGTACTGTGCATTCGAGGTTTTATTTGTTGAATATACTCAGTCTTATGAAAGTAGAACATACTAATTCAGCAGGTCAAAATAGATTGTATACCTAAAAAGATAATGATATGCTAATAGTAAAGGCAACTTTAAAAAAGATAATATACATCAGTTTATACTATGTATATTTAAAAATCTAAGGCTTTGTTTGGTAATGTAAAAGCATCTTATTACTGGATTTAATTCTTTTCTAAATAATCCTGAAATTGCATACAGTATACTGTACTGTATAATTTTGAACACCAAATTAATAATTTTATCATTCTTACTTGGAATTAAAAATACACTTTCTCACTAGATCAATTGATTTTTATCTTCCATCAACAGTCCGAGATTGCCCGTCAGTTTGACCTTCCCGAACGTCAAAGCAAACTGAACACCATGCTGCGTGAGGAAGGACTCAAGGATGAACAGGTCTATTGTGTGTGCCGCACCTCTGATGTTTCCAGGTTCATGATGTATGTACAGATTCCCCTCCTATGTACTATCATAGTTTATTGAAAAACTGCACAAGATAACAATGGTAACTTGAATTTTATGCTTCAGTAAATGAAATGTGCAACTATAAGTTAGGTTTGTCAACCATTAATCCTTGCTTTTAACTGCATTCCTTTGTAATTTAGGATGCATGCAAGGATTTTTTTCAGTGATATTTTGAGCTAACTAGTTTGGTTTTGAAACTGTAATTAATCAACTTCCTGATTAGGTAAGAGCATACAAACTGTTCAGTAAGGTTCTAATATCTATATTTAAGCTTTAACTAGCAAGCAAGATGGCAATTGATCATAATCTTATAATATTGAGAGTATAAGAATTATACAAATTCTTCAGGAAATCTTTTCACTGGTATTGATAAATGTTTTTTATAAATAAAATAATACGATATTTGTGATTACTGTATAGTATACCAATTATTTTTTACACAGCCTTCAGATATGCACAGTATACCAAGTAGTTCTTAGAAGTTAATATATTGTGACCTACATTTACAGTGGGTGTGACAAATGTGAAGAATGGTACCATGGGGACTGCATTAATGTTACAGAGAGTGAAGCCGGTAGGATTAAAAAATTCTTCTGCCAGGTGAGTTGCCATTTAAAACTTATGATACATTTCTTGTAATAAGTGGAAAATATAGTTTATAATTTATATATATTTTGTCCCTTGTCAACATATAATTTATTAGGTAAGTAATTATCCAAAGAAATCATCAACTTTAGAAGACATCACTAACTGTGGCACAGAATAGTAAAACAGTCCTAGATATTATTCAAAATGTCTATATGAGAGCAGAAAACATAAGATGAGATGTGTCAAAGGAATCTGACTTGCCAAGTAATTTGTCGATGGACAAGTGACTGAAAGGTCTAGGCTGAGGCATTAGTGCTGAATACACTCCTACTGAGTGCACTCAGTAACCATTACTGTATCACCAGTGTGTGATTATGTGATTCGTTTTGTTACATTATTCCTTGCAAGTTCAGTCCTGTCTTTTCCCTGTGGTCAAGACTCTCTGAGTAGAGAATGATCCTCAACCAGTCAGTGGTTGATGGTTGGACATTCCGTGTCCAACTTTCCCAATAACCAATGCGTTTGTTATTTTGCCAAATATGTTTCAAGCCATTTGAAGTTCATATCTATGGCTCTCCATCTGAGATTCAGAGATTTGGCCTCTCACTACTAGGTGATGTCCATTGGCCTCGACATGCTTCTGTAGCAGTTGGGTGTTTTGAGTGATGTTGATGTTCTTATACTTCAGGTCCTTCTGTCCTACTACTGTATTTTATTCCACAGGTATTGTGGGGCATTAATATGACCTTTTCTGTCAAATTAATCTTTGGTTTTTCCTTTTGTTTGAAAAACTGGTCGCCTCCACTGAGGTGCCATTATAAGTTAACTCAGGAAGCTACTGAAGGGGTCCTTCCCAGAAATAAAGCATTAAATGTAATAAAATGCCCATTTTTAGTGAGCCATTCAGCAGTAGCTTCCAGGTAACGTGGATGGTAGTCAGACTCATAATGGCTGGAGTGTTCACCTTACAGCAGCATATAATTGTCTCTTTTTCTTTTCCTATTTGAAACAAATACTGCTGTACTGAACTCAGCACTGTACAAGGTGGTATACAAAAGGGTATTTGTTATAATTCTGTACTTTAAAAGTACAGTATACTTTGTGACAATAATTTCTTTTACTAATGAAATAACAGCTAAAGATGATGCTGCTCCAGTGTAATTCAGTAATGTAATCCTGTATGTTTTTATTATCCTGTTGATAATATTGCATCTCATTGATGTTGATCTCATTGCATCTGTGTGCTTTAATATTAAATTTGGTTTTCTATTTACAGAAGTGCAGACTGAAGGAGCCTTCACTTGAAATAAAATACAAAATAAAGAAACCACATCACAACCACAATGACAGCAAGCACCATAAGGACAAAGATAAGAAAGATAGAGAAAAGAAAGAGAAGGACAAGGAGAAGGACAAGGAGAAGGACAAAGAAAAGGACAGAGAAAAGGACAAAGAAAAGGATAAGGAAAAGGACAAGGAGAAGGATAAGGAGAAGGAAAAAGACAAGGAGAAGGAAAAGGATAAGGAAAAGGACAAGGAAAAGGACAAAGAAAAGGACAAGGAAAAGGATAAGGAAAAGGACAAAGAGAAGATCAAGGAAAAGGACAAAGAGAAGGCCAAAGAGAAGGACAAAGAGAGGGACAAGGTGAAGGACAAAGAGAAGGATAAGGTGAAGGACAAGGAAAAGGAAAAAGAAAAGGAGAAAGAGAAGAAAGATAAAGAAAGAAGAGATAAGGAAAAGAAAGAAAAAGAGAAGCACAAACATGACAAGCGCTTAAGTAATTATTTTATTCCTTTTTTTAAATACTAGTATCTCCAGTAAGAATTTTTTTGGTACAGTATTTTCAAATTTTGCTGAGGTGATGCCTTACTGTACGGGCTTGAAATTTTCAATAATTTTGGTGAGTAGAGCCAGGAAAGTTCCTGTACAGGCGATGAGTCACAATAACGTGGCTAAAGTATGTTGACCAGACCACACACTAGAAGGTGAAGGGACGACGACGTTTCGGTCCGTCCTGGACCATTCTCAAGTCGATTGTCTAGGAAAGTTCATATTAGGCCATGTAACCCACTTAGTGGGTTACATGGTACGTGGTGAGGTGGTTGAGGCAACGATGACCTTGAGTGATATCTGGAAAATTAATAAGTGCAGCTGCACCTAAATATAGGAAAGAGAGTGGTGATGTTGGTTTCTTCTGAATACCTAAAGGGAAAATATATATCATTTATTTTACTGAAAAGCTGTGTACAGTATATATAGGTTTGGCAGGGATTTGCTAATAGGCAAATCTTGCAGTGCACCGTAGATATTCATATATTTAAAATTAACATTCTTCTGTACTGTATATTTCTGTTCAATATTCAAGTCAGAAGCACATTCAGACTGTTTCTCAAGTGTATTATAATGCTTATTTTAAATTAACACATTTCAATTTGAATGACATGCTTTACTATGAATATAATTTTTGCAGCTTCAAAGACTAGGAACAGTCATCGATGTGGTGAATGTGAGGCATGTTACCAACAGGACGATTGTGGTCGTTGTGAGAACTGCAAAGACATGCCCAAGTTTGGGGGCCCACACAGGCTACGACAAAAGTGCAAAAAGAGACAGTGCCAAAATTTTGTGAGTTTTTCATATTGTTAAAGGTTATTTTACTAGTATACCACATTTTTAAATGATTCTTCAAACACTTTAGATATCCTTTCCACTTTCCTCATATTCCAGCTCTTATCCTGCCCTCATATCTCATGTGCTATAGTCATACTAGCTTGGCACTTTCTCCTGATAATTGTCTTATCTTAACTCCCCCACTTTAGGATGTCTATCTTTCAGTTTGAAATTTTTATATTTAACCACTTCATGTTAAATATTATTTTCTCTCTTTATATATATTTGTTTACCCATGATTGTTTCCAATTAAATATTCTTTAATCAAAGGAAAGAGGAATTAATTGATTATGAAAATTTGGTATTTTAGTATTTTTGAGAATACTTGAGAACCATCTTAAGTATTTTTGTGTTAAGTGTCAAACAATGTGCTGAATTCATCACTGCTTATTATCACTTTCCTATCAGTCAGATATATTTTGTCATTAAACTAATGTTTTGTACCATTACATTTGTATGAATTTTCCTATATTTTTAAAAACTATTTAAATATGTAAAGAGATTTTAAATACACGATGTTTTGATGTTTTTGAAGGTGCATCTTGCTCAGAAGTCCAACAAAAGTAATAGTAGCAGTACAAAAAAGCACAGAAACTATGAACCAGAGATCCCACCACTGGCTCCACAGAGGCCCATTGACACTGGTGATGAGTACATGACTGTTCTCAAAGATGTCCTCAAAGACAAAAATGAATGTAGCGATGAGGACATGCTGGATTTAAGTAAGAAAATCTTCAAAGATCCAGTAACAGCAATCTTAGAGTGCAGCAAACCCAAAGAAAAAGAACCAAAGTTACACAGTCGAAAAGTAAGTTTTTAAATCCTTTTATTAATTAGTGCTTACAGAATGGATTTGTATCCATCCGAAGAGTTAAGTAAGCACTTCATTCCTTACAGTCATATGACAAAGAGTACTGGGGAAGACAAAACACCACAAGCATAGCTTTTATCCTGTAACTACACATAGGTAATTAGTAGCCACATATTTTATACAAACAATAACTTCAGCAGTCAGTTACAATGGTCATTTTATGCCCATTATTGGCTTACAACTTGACAGCCAAAAAATTATCATGCTTTCTAAGATTTTGTTCAGTATATATGTGCAATAAATTGGCACATTTTCAATGTTTATATGACCATACTCTAGTTTTGTTTAGCCAAGGCAGTGAAGATATTATTGATGACTTGCAGATGACTGGAAGTCATAATACTGTATTGAGAAAATCATTTGGGGCAATGAGGGGACTTGAACTAGGATTGTAGTGATTTCCAGACACTTGCCTTAACCGACTTGGCCACATGGCTATCGTGGGTAAGTTAGTTAAGGCAAGCATCTGGGAATCACTAGAACGTTGGTTCAAGTCCTCTCATTGCCCCAAATGATTTGCTCACTGATATATCACACGATTGAGATTTCTTTGTGAAATCATAATACTATTCCAGCTCTAGTAGTTTTATCCTTTTGCATGCTGTTATCTATACTTACTTTCATATATTGGATATAAAATAGTACATATAGTTGCTGCTGTCTTCTTATCTTAAAATTTTTAATATAAACTTATCACAAATCAACAGAGAAAAGAACTGAACAGTGGAACAAAAAAAAGAAAAGGTCGACATGAATCTGATTCTTCAGATACCGATTCTGATGGAGGCTCTAAGGGTGAATCTGCAACTCAAAAGCAGTGCTTTGGACCTCAGTGTATCAAGTCAGCTCGGTCCAGCAGCAAATATTGCAGCGATGAGTGTGGACTCAAGTTGGCTGAGGCAAGAATATACTCGGTAAGGTTGGCTATTTGGTGCTAAATTTTGTTTCTCTTCTTGCTAACAATACCTTCCCTTCTCACGTCGTATGCTTATACTGTAAATTTTTGCCTAAACATTTGGCTTATGTACACCAGTTTTATTATCACAATGGGGCATTTCGAGATCAGTACAGTATTTAAGATCTTGCTTGCTCTGAAACACCCATTATTCCTCCACTTGTTTTAAGAATTCATTGGATTCACACTTTAAATATGAACTAGTTTTTGGGCTACGGTATAAAGTACTATATATATATGGTGTATACATATATATAATAGTATGCTGCTGATCCCTTGCCATGACAAGGCCAGTGGCATTTCTCTCCACCACAGGGCCAGCAGTATCCCTTTTGAAAACCAATAAAGAATTGCAAAGCTGCCTCTCATGAAGGGATGAATGTCATGAGAGCCAGACATGTGATGTGAGTCCTGGATGGACCAAATATAAGCTGGATCTAGGAACATCTGAGTGTCTGGCTCATAAAGAATCATTTCAAATTACTCGACACCCTATTTTTGGATAAAGAATTCTATATCTATTTCTAAATATTGTACTACAGTATTTGTGAGGAAAGGGGATGCTGTGGGGAAGCTGTACATCCATTTGTCAATGAGTACATAACAGATAGCTATCTCCTATTTTCATCTGTGTACGATACTGTAGGTTGAATAGTGTACAAAGTGTTGACACCAATGTAGACAGACTTATTTATTTAGTAATACAGTAATATTTTACAGTACCTGTAAAGAATAATCATATTTGATATGTCATTAGAGACAATAAATTTTATCCTAATAAAGTTAACTTTCACCTCTGTGTTTCCATACAACATGTAAGTACTGTAGGGGCTTTATTGAATATTGCATTATGTGAAATCAGTACCAGAATGTAGCATCAGCATAAGTGTAGACAAGACGTAAATAGTCATTAATAACTACACTAGCAGCAGTTTCTTCTGCATGAACCGGTGGCATTGAAGGTTAATCATGTCTTGTACATTTTTCTCTCTCTTATTAATGTTTGTGAGGGTTGTAATAAAATGAGTCCTATCATTAACACTTTCGCGCTTTATATTAGAGATAACTCGTCGCTGTTTTTTCTTACGATTCCGCATAACTGCCTACTTTTCTCGTCCATCGAAAAAATATTTCTATAAATACCATTTTTTAACCGAAATGGATGGGGATACTTTTGTTTTGTAGAGAATTTATTTGTGAATTTTCTGGTACAAGAATGAATATTATATCACATAAACTTCTATGAGTAAAAAAAAAAATACGCAAAGTATGTTTGGGGGTGTGGCGAGCGTGTGGCAGTGGGTTCCCTTTAGCCGTTGATATATCCAACACGTGGGAAATATTTGTATGTGTTATGTATATGTCTGTGTAGGGAATTTTACTGCGATCACTGTCATACAAATTATAAAATGTTTCAACAAGTATAAACATGACAAACATCAAACGAACGAAAACAATGCGTTCGTTTCTGCCGCGAACGCATACTGAGCGACGTGGTTCTATATTTGGCGCTTCTCTTACACATGCTTTGTACAAATGTTATACAGTTCATCTTATAGAAAATTTTATTGCTAACACATTGGTATAAAAAAGAAATACGTACATAGAAAAGTAGGGTCAGGAAACGTATAAACTTTCCAAGCATGATTTCCCCCCTGTGTTTTCGCCAGTGCGCTCGCGGCTAACTACTCTCCACTTCACACACTCTTGCGGGTGGGCAATCACCTATATTAAACATTCATATGCATATGTCCGCGTAGAGAATTTTATTGCGATTCCAATGATACCAAAATTAGTGATGTAGGACAACTGTAGGCTTCGCAACCATTAAGAGAGTGGAAACATTTTGTTGCTGTTTGGCGCTCTCGGCGAGTGATCTGCATAGTTTTTTATTTGGTGTTGATACTCCTTATGCTTGGGCGGCATTTTATAGGTATGCTCTTATAGACAATTTCATTGCGAACACAGTGATACCAAATTTAAATACGTGCGCCTTCAATTATTGTCAGGACAGTCAAAAGAGTGTACACTTTTTCGGTCTTACCGCGTAGGCGCGCGAAGTGCCGAAAGCATCTGGGGTATTGTTTTTTTTGAGCGCCGAGAGCGCGAAAGTGTTAAGTGTTGACTGTATTGGGTAAAGGTACAGTATTGAATGGGTGTATGTTTTTTATTAGAGCTTGTATTGTTTATTTGAATTTGTACAATTTTATTAGGTTTTGCCGCAACGTATACAAGAGTGGAAGATGAGTGAGTGTGCTGCTGAAAATCTGGATATCCGACAATTAGAGAAGATAAGACGGCAGCAGCTGGAGGCAAGGGAGGTGCTTCAGCAGCTGGATCAACGTCATTTGGTACAGTAAAAATTAAGGCCCAGTTTAGCTGGATACACACACACACACACACATTATATATGTGTGTGTGTGTGTGTATACACATACACACATGTATATGTACACATACATTAATTGCCTGAACCTAACCTTACCAAAGACACACGAATAGAAAATGGGACATCACATCAATTTTGCGGGCTGCTATGATTTTTAATACATCATACTTTAACACTGAGGATTTTTATGTCAAAATATGATGTGTTATGCAAGAGGACAGGTTGCAATATTACATATTAATTTATTTGTATTTTTTAATGAGATTATGTTTATGAATGGTATGTATGTGTTCATATTAAAAATGGAAATACAATATTTCAAACTTTCACAGGAAATAGATCGGCTAGTTGAGCGTGGAAAAAAGGCAGCGATTGATCCTCATGCAGATGATGGCGGAGAGGAAGAGGGTGGAGATGGTGTGTATATCTATTGTGTCACTTGCGGCCATGAAGTACAGGCCAGACGAGCAATACGGCATATGGAAAACTGCTTTAACAAGGTTAGATTGATAAAGTTGATTATTGCATATTTTACAAATTTATGTACATATCTCACAAAATTAGTTTATTCCCTGAGTGTTAAAACATGACATTAGCATCATCACTGTCTTGTCCTGTCTTCTCAAGACCTGTACCACCAAAACAACTAAATTCACCTATTATTTGTGATGCTTATATTTGTCTCTTAATTCAGTAGCTATTCTTCTGGTGTATCTGGTGCTGTTGAATATGACTGAAAGTGTAAGATTAATGATTCTAACACTAATCTTCTCAATATTTCTTATGTTTCTCTTCACTGTCGGGGGTAGTTGAAAAATTAACTCCCCCAAAGTTCATTTTCACACTTTATTTATGGTCTGACACCTAGAAGCGTTTCGCAAGAACACTTCTTACATTTTCAAAGACAATTTTACATACTCAGATCGTGCTTATATTCATTTTTGGGTGAGGTGACAGGACACAAATCAATGGGAAAAGACAGAACACGAAACAATAGGTATATTGCGTGTTTTATTTCTTGCTTCTGTGCAGCTGCGGGTAAAACAAAGAGATTAAGCGCTTAAAACATTTAATATAACAAAAATGATTTTAATAAAACAAAGCCCCTTATCCACATGGTGATGACACAATATAAAATATAAAAGAAATATAAACATAGGTGAGATTTTATGTTAAGCAAAAGTGAGGTGCAATTACTGTAATACAATATACAAAAGTTGTACGCATCTACTGTCTCTTGGGGAGACAACAGTATATGTTACTGCTTGAGAGCACGAAGTGTATTCTCAGGACTGGACGTCAGTGAGCCCCTTATATATGCGCGGAAGTCCAGCATAGATGGCGCTGATGTTGTGGGTAACCATTGGTCGGCAATTAAACAAGCAGTTAGTGAGTAGAGTTGGGTCTCTGCCCAGACAGCAAGTGTCCGGGTGTCTTGGGTACTAGAGGGTGGAGGGGAGGCGTGTCTTGTCTACAGACTGAGGCTTCTAAGCACGTATTATTGTTGATGTTGATTCCTTTTGTTGGAGCATGCAGATACATTGGTGAATAGGCGGTAAAGTGAACAGACAGGATCTTCTGCCTAAGCAGATTACCGTAACAATGTATGTATTTTATAGACAATATATTTGAAGATTTTGCAATGTTTGTGTGAAGTCTAATCCAAAGTTGCAGGTACAAGTTTTTTTTTCTTGCATTAGATACATATTAGGCATTTTCCAAATTTTTTTAAATGTGTGATAATTTCACTTATCTGAGTACAGGGTATTCTTATTTATATCCATTTGACTAACTTGTAAATACTGTACAAACTTTCAGATTATATTTGGTCTACTTTTCTAACTGACAGCTCCACAAAGCATTTAAACAGATACATAATGTGTAAAACTTTTAATACAGTACTCTTTTTTGCATTTAATTTACAGTTAGAAAGTCAAACAACTTTCGGTTCTATGTACAAAACTCGAATAGAGGGTAACAACATGTTCTGTGACTTCTACAATCCCAGCAGCCTCACGTATTGCAAGAGGCTCCGTGTCATGTGTCCGGAGCACACCAAAGCTCCAACAGTGTCTGATTCAGAGGTAAGATAAAGCTTCTTGCTGAAATGTTAACTTGATCATTTTGAGGTTATTGTATGGACAAATAATTGTTAGATAAAATTAAGCATAATTCATTTATTTCATTTATAATCTAAGCTAAATGGTTCTCCAGTGGTGCCCAAGTCGACCTCAAAAGGTTGTGCCATTTACAGACAGATATTCTTCCTTGTAGACATAGATGTAAATTTTTTGCAGCAGTATATAAAACATATGCATGATGTTTTGTATGTTTCAGCTTTTTAAGTTTAGAATACTGTGGAGTAATTATATAATTGTCATAATATGAAAAGATACAGCTGTACATGCAAAATGATGTTTCAACTTTTTATTGCAGTGCTTTATTTTGATTGCTTTTAGGTGTGTGGTGCACCGATGACTTCTAATGTTTTTGACGAAACTGGAGAGATTTGTCGAGCATCAAAAAAGAAATGTCTTCGCCACTACTGCTGGGAAAAATTACGCCGGGCTGAAATAGACATGGAGAGAGTTAGACAGGTAACAGTTTATCTCATATTTAAAGTTTATTTTTTCAGAATGAACTTCATTTTATCATAAAATATTAAGAATTTAAAAGCCAGTCAGTAAAGGTAATACATTTCTGAATAGAACAAATTCATATAGAAAGATGCTGTTAAGAAATGATAAGAAGTAATTATGAGGGATAATACTTTAAAGGGGTGATTAATTACTATTAATTTTCCACCTCAAAAATGGCCAGTCACTTAAAGTGCTATATAACATGTATATTTTTTTGTGTATCCTCCATTGCCATGATTAGACAATTGGTACCACTGCCTGTATGTTGCAGATTTATGGGCCATAGAATTGCAAACATCAGAACTATCATTACAAGTGAGCTAGCATGCATATATACATTGTCATCTGTACTTATGACCTAGAGTAAAGAACAGGTGCATCAGTTTTACACATTTCCAGGTGGGGAATATTGGGAGGAAGGTGGAGGGGTAGATGGAGGTGGAGCAGAGGGTAGTGGTAAGAAGGTGGAGGAGAAAGGACAGGTGGGAAGTTGAGGGGCAGGTGGGATGGTACGGGGCAGGTAGACAGGCAGGAGTGGTTTGCTAGATGAGAACATAATAAAGGACAGGATGTGATGGGTAGATAGGAACAACAAAGTATGCTTACTTACCAAGTAGTCTACCAGATCCATCTGTTGAGCCCCATCTCATAGTTACTGCATGATACCCATTTGTAGTTACACATGGGTAAGTGTAATAATAAATGAGTGATCATGCAGTAACTATGCTATTCATGTAGCACCTATCCTTATTTAAAATATGTTACATATTCTATCATTTACTGTTTTCTCATATGTTTATTATGGAATATTTAATATTTTCTTACAGTGGCTGAAGCTAGACGAGTTGTTAGAGCAGGAGCGTTTGGTGCGGCAGGCTATGACCAATCGTGCTGGTGTTTTGGGTCTTATGCTTCATTCCACGTATGACCATGCACTGGCAGAAAAGCTTCAACAGTCTCAGCAGTTTCATCAGAATGACCATCAGTATCATTTAGACCACAAATATCAACATTCTAATACCAGCACTCATCATCAAAAGAGTTCTAGCAGTGTTAGCTTGCCCAAAACTCCACAGCAGCAGCACCAACAGACCTCCCAGCGTTACAACCATGACCACCGCTACCAGAGTGATATGCAGCATCACCAAAGTGATCTGCAGCATCACCAAAGTGATCACTTATATCACAACACCAATCGTAAACATCATCACAGTGACCATCAGTACCACAGTAGTGACCGTAAACAACACCACAGTGACCATCAATACCATAATAATGAGCGGAAACATCACAGTGACCATCAGTATCATTCCAACCGTGAGCGAAAGTATCCAGTGGAACACAAATACCACAGTGATCATCAGTACTTCTCAAGCAAAAAGCACAAATAAATTTTAATTATTCATTTGTCATGACTGTCCCTATACTTTATCTGTTGTACCACATTTCATGAAGTAATTCTTGATATTTGTTTGCAGATTTTTTAATTGAATATTATTTAAAACTAAGAGTGCACTTGTAAATCTTTGGTAATTGTGTAGAACATAGATGGTTCTTCCAACATGTATGTAAAGAGAAGTGATATTAGTGTACAATATCTAAACAATGTATTTTGTAAATATAAGGTCTACTTTAAAATACTAACTTTTTTAGTAGTGGTAGCAATTCAAACTTCAAATTTGTACCTATTGTAAATAATTTTGTACAGTCTTGTATCAATTTTTTTCATGCAAATAAAGTATTTCTCATAGCTAACTTCATAAACGTTTTATTGATAAAAAAAAATTCAATTATTGTCCCTATAGGAGTTGTATAATACTTTTGTAATGCAAGCCAGAATATTGATGTAGGCTGGTAGATGCATATATGATTCTTAATCAGATGTGACAGTATGAAGGAAAGATTCTTTTATTAGAAAAGTTACTGGTAAATACCCTCATATTTTAACAATGGTGTTCAAAATCTCCTGAATTATACCAATAGTTCCTTTGGATTTTATTTAGTACTGTTAAATGCCTCTAAACAGCATAGTTATATTATGTTATTTGAAACTAATTCAGAATGTGTTGCTGGTCCGAATATTAGTTGTTACCCATTACTATATTCACATTAAATTTGTCTGAATTTAAACAAATTATATTTTTCAAGACCTACATAAAGCATCTGAACCAGTCCTATACTAAATGCATGTCATACCAAAATGACTTGGCTTATGTTCTGTATGCCATTCTCCCAATTTTTATTACATATATTATTTAATTCTGTTTAATAACATTTTGTTAAGCCCTATATAGTGTCGTACTCTTTTTGTCACATCTTGATCTTGAGGTTATCTTGAGATGATTTCGGGGCTTTTTTAGTGTCCCCGCGGCCCGGTCCTCGACCAGGCCTCCACCCCCAGGAAGCAGCCCGTGACAGCTGACTAACACCCAGGTACCTAATTTACTGCTAGGTAACAGGGGCATAGGGTGAAAGAAACTCTGCCCATTGTTTCTCGCCGGCGCCTGGGATCGAACCCAGGACCACAGGATCACAAGTCCCGCGTGCTGTCCGCTCGGCCGACCGGCTCCATAGTTCCACATAGTTCATATTTCAGTGGAATTTCACTAATATCTTGAAATTTTGATGTTAAAACTCATCCACAGTCATCATCACCATTTCTTTATGATCTGTTTACTCTTCATCATCATTACTATGATCTGTTTAATGCCACTTTAATCCAATATTTTTGCCCCCCTAGATACTCATATGCTTACTTCCACCCATCATATATGATAAACATTAAGCTTTTGTATCAGTCATGGGTGTCCATTACCCATGATGACTAGATTTTACATTCTAAAATCTAACCATTTTTTGTGTTGTTTTGGCCATTGGTAACTGAATGAATGTCCAGATTATATGTTGTATAGTTGTGGCCACTTGAAACTGTCAATGTATTGAACTAAAATGTGTCTACTTGTTCTCTTAATGGAAAACATAATGGGGGGATAACTAAAATGTGTATTATCCAGTTCATCATGACTTACAAGTTGGACTGATGACTAGACAATGTGGACACAGTTGTTGACATTAGTTACTGCCAACACCTGTACAATTATTCGCAGACACTAGTTACTGCCAACACTACCTACGAAAGTTCTGTCAACAGTTGCAGGTTAAAATAGTCTAGCCTTTTATGCTTAAGCTGAACACTTGTAGAATATGTTGTTATGCAAATTCATTTACTTTGGTATTACATAGAAATATAAAATAACCCAAGTAAACCTTTTATTTGTATTGTTTTAATTTTTGTTCATTACATTTCACAATTTTATTGTCTGTTATTAAATTCTCTGGAAATTCTCATTCCTTCTTCTAGCATGTATTTCTTTCTTGGGCTACACTCTCACTGCAATTCCATTTGGTTAGCTAGTACATTTTTTGAGATCAACAGTTTTCTTATTTCTGATTTTATCTTCTTGTCTATTTCTGTTTCTTCCTTTCTATTTTTTTCATTTTTCCCTTCACTCTTATTTCTGCATGCAAACAAGTGACAGTGATAATCAACAAGTATGCAGAATTGGTTGGGAAGTATTTGAAATACTCAAAAGAGAGAGTTCCCAAAGGTAATGAAACATCAAATGTAAAGATGGAGGTAATTAGTACATTAATATTATTATTATTGCCATTATTTATTAACAACTTGCAGTCGAGTTATTCAAGTTTTTCCATGTTAAAAATTACAAATGTGTAAGTACAAGTGATAACAATTATTATAGACATTTCTTTGTATTAAAGCAACTTTTTGAGTATTTTCATTAAAGATCTGTAAAGATTTTGCAGATAAGGATATTTATACTATGTATATTTGTAGGGTCCTTATATTCTCTTTATATGCATTTATTTTTAACTAAATGCAAACATTTCTTATCTTTAATAAAAGAGTTTACTTCCTTGGTATAGTTATTACCATATCTTATTTAAAATTCCCAAGCTTTCTTAAGATCAAATTGATGATGTGATGTGCTAATCATTTAACTATTTCAAATACTGTACAGTACTTTTTATGTGTATGTGTGTAAATGGTAATACTGTACAGTACTTGTTATATGTGTAAACAGTAAAAGTGTACTATTTATTCAACTGAATACCCAAGGAAGGATTAGGGATTAAAGCTAGCCACAAACAGATAGGCAATAGTAAATTAAGCAGATTTTAAAATGCCTTAATAGCTCGATCAAGTGCAGGTAATGTGTTGCTATACAGTATATACATTTTAAAGTGTACATTTACATTGGTAAAAGAGTAAGAAACAAGATACTGAGAGAGAGAATTAACAGATGAATACAGGAGAAGAGTTGATAGAGAACTAGAGAGAGACTATACATTTTGATAAACCTTAATAAGATGGAAATATACAAAGAATGTTTGGTTAAATTTTCCATGGAAATGTATCGAGTTGCACTAACTTGTAGAAATGGTATGGGCAGCTGATGATAAATGGGTTTTAAGGAGGTAAAGTCAATGAGACAAGGAGATTGGAAGGAGTAAGGAGAGTGGTAAGTTCATAATGGGTTGATGAAAAGATCAGCCAAACAGAAGATTGGATGATAGCAGATGGGTGGATGTATTATAATAATAAAGAAGGGGGTCTCATAGTACAATTGGCTTCATTGTCGGCTCACAGCTGGAGGATACTAGGTGGGACAGAAAGCTAACCAAGCCCTACAAATAATCAAACAATTATTTAACTTTAAGGAAAGGAAGGTAGTTTTTCAACTATATAAATCTCTGTTGCATTCCTGCTTGGATTATTACATCCAAGCATGGAGACCTCATCTTCAGAAAGACATAGCTAATTTAGAGTTAAACACCGGGCAACAAAAATATATTCCAGAATTAAGTCGACTCATGCGAAGAGCAGTTGAGAGTCAAAGGGCTATGAGCGAGGTTTTTTCCCAGATATTTAGTTGAAATAGAAGAATCAACATTATTTTATGAATATGAGGTCACTTAAGCTGTTATTGTAGTGTAGTGTAGTGGCCCTCAGGTAATTCCTGGCCCCCAGTACTACTGAGCACAAGAAGCTGGCTTGGCTTACTGAGAACAGAAATGATTGATAAAGATTAAGACATCAAAGAGGTGGCACGGGCATGAATAGCCCGTAAATATAAAATTTACTCAAATAAAGAGCAACATTAAACAAACTTGGAGCACAATTTCACAAATATTGGGATCAAAGAAATCTTTAAATAACAAACCGACTCTCCTGTCTAATAACGATGGTCAGCTTTCAGCCTCTGATTCTGCTATTGAGTTTAATAGGTTCTTCTCTTCCATTGGTTCATCCCTTGCAAATGATATTCCATCTTCCAGTACTGACATTAAGGACTATCTTACAGGTAACTATCCTCAGTCTCTGTACCTAAAGCCTATTAACTCCACTGACGTCAATGAGATAATCCTTTCCCTTAAAACCAAGTCTGGTGCCCTTGAGGAGATACCAACTTTAATTTACAAAAAAGCCTCCAGATCTTTAGCCCCTGCTATTGCTTTGCTCTTCAACAAGTCACTTGAACTCCAAACCTTTCCAGATATTCTAAAAAAAGCGAGAGTAGCGCCTGTCCACAAATGTGGTGACCCCACAGATGTTAACAACTACAGACCTATATCAATCCTGCCAAACTTGTCAAAAATTTTGAAAAACTTATATACAAGCAGCTTTACTCATATCTAGCCAAACTCAATATACTTAGCCCTTGCCAATATGGCTTCAGACCCAAAAAATGCACTAACGATGCACTTATTAGTATGCTTAACTCGATTCATACAGCTCTTGATAAAAAGGAGTTCCCTGTTGGGTTATTTGTGGACCTGCGTAAAGCTTTTGATACTGTCAACCACCATAACCTTCTTCTTAAATTACATCATTATGGAGTCAGAGGACACTCCCTACAATACCTCGAGTCCTACCTTACTGACAGGCTCCAATATGTTTCTGTGAATAATACAATTTCTCCCACCCTACCCATCAACATTGGTGTTCCTCAGGGCAGCATACTTGGCCCTCTCCTCTTTCTCATCTACATTAATGACCTTCCAAATGCCTCCAAACACCTCAAACCAATTCTATTTGCTGACGACACAACCTTCATTTACTCAAGTCCTGACCCTCTTGCTCTAAATGCCACAGTAAATACTGAGCTAAATAAAGTCCATCTTTGGCTAACTGCCAACAAACTCACCCTTAACATTGACAAAACCTTCTATATTCTGTTTGGCAATAAATCCTCTAGTCTTATAAATCTCAAAATAAACAATACCCAAATTTGTAACAAATTAGATGGCAAATTCCTTGGCATTCTCATTGACCACAAGCTGAATTTCCAGGGACACATTCTAAATATATCTAAAAAAGTTTCAAAAACGGTGGGCATTCTTTCTAAGATCAGATATTATGTACCACGCCCTGCCCTGGTGACTCTCTATTACTCCCTTATCTATCCTTATCTCAACTATGGTATTTGTGCTTGGGGTTCTACTACCCAAAATCACTTACGTCCTCTAATTACCCAACACAAAGCCGCTATTAGAACAATATCCAACTCTGGCCCCAGACATCACTCGGTACCCCTACTCAAATCTCTTAATATGTTAGATATTAAGTCACTGCGATGGACAAAGATTGGGTGACCGGCCTTAATGCCACATGTGACCGAGCGCCTCACAGTTGTGAGGGACATTCACAGAGCCACGTCAGTGTGGTGATCATCCAGTGTAAAAACAGGTCAGTGGCTCTATTTGTCAAGGAATGTTCTACATTTTAATGTGAACACAGACCTCGTTCAATATTTATCGAAGGAACGTTTTCATATTTAGACAACAAACTTAGCAGCAAATTGTTGCTTGCATACAGTTTAGTCTTTAAGAGATATTATACACGTTGAGATACTACGAACATTATAAAATTTCCGCAAAAAAATCCTGCACCCACAGCATTACGGGTGCCTGGTGGAGCAAAGCCAGCAGGTAGTTATCAGTGGCCAGGAACCAAGCACGAGACATGCGTGTGGAGCCCCGTGTCTGAGGTCCAGCAGCAGCAGCCATCAGGCACGCCACACTCACCAAGTGCTCAATTCAGCTCCAGA